TCCCCGATTAGTATCCCAGGCGCCACGCAACAATTGATGATTCCTAGTCCAGGAAACGCCGCCCGCCATTTTGAATTTTCCTTCTAATAAACTTGTTCCAGTGGGTTTGTGATTTATTACATGTGATCATCTAGTTTTCTCACGTAACACCTATTTTATCCGGTTGCTGCTATAAATTACCTAGAGGAGAAGATATCTCGCTACGTGCTTGGCACCGTAACGTTGGCACCCCCAAAATTTTGGGAAACTGATCCTTCCTTATGTTTATTGCACCTAGAATCCCACTTTTTACATTCATAGGAGTTCTTCTTAGTTTGTCACGTATAATCCTCTAATATCTCGCCTCCCTCCGAATATATTCTTGCAGGTAACAGACCACATATTTTGCCCTCCCGTAATGAGATAAGAGACTGGTACATAGGCTTTCATGCTGCGAATAACGCCTTCTGATAAAGCGTTTGCAGCTACTATTTACTGAGCTGTGGCTAGGTGATAGGATGCTGTCTTACTTGTCGCGCGACAAGCAACTGCTTATTGGCAGTCCAAATTTGACGTAGGGATGCTCCGCAAGTTACGGATGCAACGCCTTCCTGGAAGCCCTCAGGTCATCCTTGTACTAGCAAGTGACCTACTAATCACAACAGTTGCAGATCGAGCATACGGCTACATCGGACGGCACCAGTAGGAGAAGGCAGCAAACTAACCTAAGAAGCATTGGGCTACAGTAAGCACACCAACACCACGACTAGTCAGCCGTAGGCAATGGAAGCATTATCTTTGCAGCTAGCGTCGCTTCAGCGCCAGATCGAGGAACTCACTTTTAAATGTGTATTGAAGCAGCTCTGGATCATCGCTCAGTCGAACAAAACCTGATACCCCAGGTTATTGCTTTCACCACTAGCGTTTCGGAAATAAAGCCCGTAAGTTCTTGCGCCATGTAGCTACTCGGCTACAGAGGATCCACCACCCCGGCCTGTAATCGTCACCTAGGAAGTCGGCAAATGCAAAACTTCTCATCTGCATTAGGGATTATGATTTTGAGACCCAGCATTTAGTTGATAACATGGCGGAAGTCAGCGACATCCCTATGTCAGGTGAGCCTACCGCTTGTTTGTCGACGTGCTTAAGTGCTGCCAAGGTTATAGCTATAGCCACCGACGGTTATCGGTCGCTCACCCTAGTGCAAGTACTACGGCGTAAGTTCCGCTGGATATTAAGCGTTGCTACAGTTCACTTTGCCGTCATCGGCATTGACTTTCTTAGGAAGTTCAACCGCTCAGTTGATGCGAAACGCAAGCTGATGGTCGACAAGGCAACGAAGCTCAACATACGTGGCATCACCGCCGATGGCGCATCTATGACACTGGTCTACGCCTTTAACCATACCTCACTGGACTACGTCTACCTCCTCTGACAGTACTCCAAGCTTGTCCTGCCAATTAAAGCGGCTTTGCCCATGGAAACCCAAGTGAGGCGACACATTTGAAAGAATTACCCACCCAGCTAATGCCGTCCACGTCGCCTATATCGTGAGTTTGAGCACGTGCTCGAAATTGGAATAATCCGCCCTTCCGACAGCCCTTGGTCTTTTCCCCTGTAGACAGTCCCAAAAATTCTGGTGACTGGAGCCCTTGCGTGGACTGTCGTGCACTCAACATGCTAACCGTCTCAGATAGGTATCCCACCCCACAGTTGCTTGACCTTACCGCAAGCCCCACAGGTAAGACGAATTCAACAAGTGAGAGCTGATTGGCGCCTATCACCAGATACCTGTAGAAGGAACTGACACTCCTAAACAGCCGTTATTCACACCTTGTGGTTTGCTTAAATTCTTAAGTTTGAGGTTTGGACTGTGCAACGTCGCAGTAACCCACTGGCGCTTCATCCAATATCTTACCGGTGGTCTAGACTTCGCTTATTCCCACTGCGAAGATATTTTGCTCACCAGTTCTACAGAAGAAGAGTATCTCGACCACACTCGAGCTCTGTTCCAGCGCCTGACCTAACACCGTGTCATAGGCAACCCGACTATCCGAACTCCGCAAAGCTATGGGAGAATTCCTTGGCCACCTCGTTTTATCGTCTTTTCTTCAAGTCCTTTCTGTTAAAGTCCAGGCAACTAAAGACTTCCCAGCTCCGACGTCATTCAAGTACCTCTATTGAGATTGTGCCTTGGTCAACTTCTACTGACGCTTCATTCCGCGCTGCGTTCAGCTCATGCAGACTGTGACTGAATTACTCAGTGATGAACGCAAGTTCACTTTCCGGGACACATCACAGACAGCCTCCACCGAGCTCAAGGATGCCACCTCCAACCTAGATCACTCCGCTTATTCCGAATCGACTCAATCTCTTTCTATCAAGGATGACGCCTCAGCCGTCGAGGTAGGAACCGCCCATCAACAACACGTTGCTGGGCAACCGCAACTCCTTGTGTTCTCCAAGCTCCTGCAACCAGCGGAATCCTGCAACTGCAGGTTTGGCAGAGAACTGCTAGTCAGTTATCTAGCCAGTCGTCACTTCCGTCACACACGCGGAGGCCGCGCTTTCATGGTGTACACTGCCCATAAGTCCCTCAACTTCGTCTTTTACTTTGCCTGCGACAAATACATACCTCGGGAAACGACACAAGTAGAGTTTGTCACAAAATTCACTGATGGCATTCGTCAAGTCTCAGGTGTCGAGAATCCCGTCACCGACGCAGGCGTACACACCAACCTCACAATCCAGGCTTTGCCTACAGTCAACCTTTATGCCATGGCATCTGCTAGGCGCAACCAGAAGACATAAAACGCACCATGCAGTCCACTTCGTTATGTGTACAATCTGTTCCGCTTCCCACCAAGGAAGGAAGCATCCTCTGTGACACTTTCACAGGTTGACCACGGCCCCCGGTGCCCGTCTCTTCTAGACGCACTGTGTTCGGCGCATTCCACTCCCCATCACACCCGGTTTCCCTGCACCTTTGAAGCTGTACACCTGACATTTCGTTTGGCCAAGAATAAAGTTAGATTTTCGTTCCTGGGCTGGCGCTTATCTTCAATGCCAGGGTTCCAAAGTACAGCCTCACACCCGCAGTCTTCTTGACTGATTTCCCACCTTGGACTCTAGGTTCTCGTATGTACACTTATACCTAGTTTCCTTTTTTCTCCCGAGTCTGTCACAGGCACGGCGACACGCACCCAAGGAATTGTCCTCCGTTTCGACAACAATACCAGGCACACAGTTCCTTTACCTGGACATGAGCGGAAAATTATCAACCTCTTTACAACATATTTACCGGACAAATCAATCAATATTTTGCACTGATACAACTCTTCCGCGGCATGAACCACGGAGTTCAATTTACCTAACAATACTTCTTCCACATATCTCTTGACTGGAGGACTTTCGACTACGGAAGGCACATTTTCCTGCCAATACAAAGCTTGAACAATCGGTCATTCTAAGCTCTTCAATCCGCTTTGACCGCTCAAATGGCCGTGGTTTCCCCTATCTCTTATCAATTTCACTACATACCCCGGGGGATCTGCGATTCTCTCTTCGGAACCTATCCTGTCCTCCAAGACTTCAACATATTTCAACGTAAATTCTTCAAGACTTCACGTGGTTCTGCAGATGATCAACACATCATATCCAGAAAGAAGGCTTAGTTCCTGACCTACCGATCTGGCACAAGAGAGGATCCAGGCACACAATGGCCACTCGCATAACGAATCAGTCAGCAGAAAAATGGGATGCAACTTGACTGCGAATAACGGAGCAAAAGAACGTTCAACAAGAAACATAGCCAGTTACAACTTGCCATTCAATGGATTGGCGGCAGTGTTTCAGGACGTGGTGGGTTTTCGCCTGGCAAGCGTTCTCCCTATAAAAAGCCACAAATGTCCGTTTAACAACACTGCAACGTGGCGAATGTGACTCGCCACCGAATAAAGTCACAGCCCATAACTTCACACTGGCAGCTCAATTAGAATCTTCATACTGGATAGCTTGCTCTTCAATTATCTCCCAATGGATCACTCAGAATTCTTTATCTTTTATTAGTCGCGGTATGACTGCGATATATGGCAGAGCGATTATGTCCAAACAAATGGATCCCGACCCCACTACAACCGAATCGTTTTTTCGCATATTCACCATCGCACAGTTTCAAGCATGGACATATGAACAATTTTCTACTGTTACTACAGTTCCCATAAAATGTCTGTACAGCTGTATATTCCTGATCATGCCTCAATTGGCGTGCCTCGCATAGTCGAGAATAAAATATTTATTTATTTATTTATTTAGTAGGCGCCTTGCCTCCTTCATGCGGCTTGCTATACATTTGTACATATGTCGACTGCTTCACCAGGTGGCCAGAAGCCATGCTCGTAACAGACTGCACCGCTGATACGTTTATCCGGGCCTTCTTAGGTCATTGCTTCACGCACTACGGACGCCCATCCACCACCACAAGGGACCGAGGAGGCCCCCTCGAATCTTCACAACTCCTCACGTCCTGCAACTTCTATCATTCCGCTGCATTAATACCACAGCGTGCGACCCAGCATCCAATGGCTTAGTTCAACGCTTCCATAGACAGTTCA